GAGATAGAGCGAAAAAGCTAATGCCACCACCTAAAAATGTCCCTTTGCCTAACAAAGTTACACTGCTGCCGCATTAACGCTATTGATGGCATGCGACGCGCAGGCGAACAATACAACAAGCAATATCACACACGAGATACGATCCGATATATATACGCTTCAGAGCAGCGCCGCGATATGAAATATTGGCTAACATGAGTACCATCGCTGCATTGCCTATGACATCACAGCTGTTACTGAAACCGGCCAGAAACAACGGTACCAGCGCCGCAAGCGTATGCCTTTTTGTGTATGCATTACAAACGCCAATTACGAAAAAGCACAAAAGATTGCCGCTAGCAACATCCATAAGCCCCACAGCACATTAGTCATCGAAACATAACGACTGCACATTATAAACAACCAAGTGTGTTTGTACAAGAGAGATTTTTTACGAAAACATGTGGCTGATTTTTTAGCCAGTTTACCATTTTTTAGACCAATGCTGGTCTTTCTCGAAACACAACTGAGTTACCAAGAGAAAATGCGAGTAAGCTTTCTCTATACGATGAGCACTTCAGCGTTGACTATTTACTTCTGACTTAATCGAATCTACAACTAGCAGCGGTCACCTTTCAGCTCTAGCAATATATCCGATTTATGCTTCCATTTTCGTACAAACAAACAATCACCTGACGAAGAGCAGAACACGGATCACCGCTCATTTGATAGTCCGCCAATATGCTCAACCATAAGGCCATTGCCGTTTTCTCGTTCGCCGGTGGCTCAACGTCGCCGCCCACCCCACATCTGTCTCTCCACTGATCCCGGTCAGCAAATTCACCACGACCAGCCACACTTCAGAACTTGAAACCACATTCTTTATTCCTTTACCCCTTTTCTCCGACCATTCAAAACAATGAAGCCGAACAATCAGAACTTTGAAAAATTCAGCTTCTTTCCCTGTGCCCTTGTAGAATATTATGTTCGACAGTCCAACAAAGCGGAGTCGATTCCCTATCTGCCTACTGACGCGCCGATATTTACTTACCGGTACTTAGCGGTATGTATGCTGATATCCTTTTGACCGAAACACGATATTAAGCAGCACGCTTTATTTATTACATTTGCCAATTTACTCGCCGATTGTTTTCCGCCCTTGTTGGCAGTATTCTTTATTCCGCGTGGCGTGTGTCCTATCTGTCTGTCTATATCGACCTCTGTTTAAATATTTTTCTATATTGTTTACTCGATGATCTCACAATGTTCGGGTCCGCTGAGGGCGGGCCAACTGGCTACATTTCCAAGCTTCTATTACCGAAAAACGGGAGGTCAGAACTAATCTATAGTGTATGATCATAAATAGTCCAAACGTGGGCCGACACGTAATGCGAACGGAGTTTGTCTGTCCGAGGTTCTGCTTCCGACAGAAACGTATAGATAACCGGTCAGTTCTGCCACAGTAATACCGCGCTGTGCAGCACAGGCCGCTCCAACCCACCGGGATCGCCAGCAATACAAAGCACACTCTTAAAAACAACTCACTGCGGCAGAAGTCACGCAAAACCGCTGCGACCAATCCTCACCACACTAGCAGTAATGGTGCTACGACAAAAAGACGTTAACGAAAAACTGTTCGAGAGAACAGGCTGCTATCCGTGCTGACGTTGTTTCACTGAGTTGTCGACTATAAACACTTTCTAGCAATGTCAACTCGATGGGCCCTCACCGTTTCCTCAGAGGCAGACGAGGTTCACAGTTCGCCAAAGAGGATGTATCCTTCTCGACGGAAATATTAAATACTATTCAAAATCAATCTGCCGCCACAGGTCTAATTCGGCTGCGCAAAACAATTCGATGTAAATTATTATGTACACATATATGGATATATGGCAAAGAAGGACTAAGTCAGGCGACCACGTTTTTCCGACATCGGCGGTCGGGCGGGGGCCTTTCCTTCCATATAGCTTGCACACCACCTTTAACAGTAGCGAACCACGAGACACAATCGTCGTTGAAACACGCCTGATTCCGTACCACACGTTACGAACATTGTACGCTTTGGTCTTGTACCGCCAAAAAGATCACCCGACGTACACGCAATCCATTTTCGTGCTTTGGCAAGATAGAAGCATCGCGTTTCGCCTGCTCAACTGAACGGTCAGGCAAACAGCAATAGCACTGGCAACGCACGAACAAACGGCACAGCCAGCTGCTTACGACTTCCGATACGTCGTTAGTACACGGTTCACAACATTGGCTAAACATATGATGATGGCCGGACCCATGGGTACTGGTGGCGCAAACGCCATATTGACGTGGGGAGAGCAGACGACCCGGGCAAATTCAAATTTGAGAGAAAAAGTTTCGTTTGATAGAGTTGCCGCGTATATCAACGTATGGTGGTTGGTGCCCCTAGAGGCGAGTTATTAAACAGATTCGGAAATGTCGTTTTGCCTAGAAGTGGTGCATAATATATGTATATATACATATTCATATGTAACGTAAGGAGGAATATAATGCGATAGGAGTAGGATGAGTGTTTAGATTTGTGTTTCTCATAAGTTGATGTCTATGATTTTAGACGAACCACGTTCGAATTTGACTAGTTATATTCAACTGCACAGGCAGCTACATTTGCTTTTCTGACAAATATTCATACCGAGTTAGTACGTTTCTTTTTTTTTTTTTTTTTTTTTATAGTGAAATAAACTCTATTCCCTATGTTACGTAAATCACATTTCCAAGGTTCGTAGAAAATTCTTTGAAGCAAACAGTAATCCAAAGTCATGTTATTGTTTCAAATTAAGCTCCTAAACCACACTAAATGAGAAAGATAGTTGTGAATTATTCGGAAATCTAATATCAAACGTGAGAGTCGCTTGGATAGGAGAACTTGACTTTTTGAAGGAGGAAGGGACGGTTAACGGATAAGATACTGGTATAAAGTCCTCCAACAGTTTAGATTAATATGCCTTTGCATTAGCTCTGCCATAGAGGTTTGTGCACCTCCTTCTTAGCTGATCAGCTCCAACGAACTCATTATAAATTTCAATTAATAACCAAGAAAACGAAATTAATTACTACTATTATTGAAATTATTGTTGGATGTTTTTACAAAAAAGCTATTAACTTGGTCGGCGACCATTTTTTGCAAGCACGAATTTCGGCCTCAGGAATACCGAACAGTTAAATCTGGCTTTACAGTGAGTGTTTTGTAGAAGCTCAAGATATTCGAATATGGTTTTTGCTTGGTATCCTGGTCACAAAAATCAAGACTGACCTGCCATCTGATCTGCTGATGAAGAAACTTTATAACTCGTGCCCAATTCTTCTACATTCTTATATATTCTATAGATAGGATTCTTATATATTTTAGAATCCTGAAAAATATTCAGAGAATGTGCGAACACAATTGCATTATCTAAGTTATTAAGTTACAGTTTAAAACATGCTTAAACTTCACACAAAATTATAACTATGTTTTAGGGATAGTAAAAACTGGATCCCGCTTTTCAGGAAGCCGCCCGTAACATTATGGTAACTAACTATCACACTGTGATAAAATGGAAATATCACTTTTCCGTATATATTAACCCATTGGGGCAGCATATTTTATAAAAGTGAGGTCACACTTATCTGCAGCATCTTTATTGACAATAAGATACCCATTCCGCTTACACTGATAAAGTATAGAAAATGCACTTTTTTATTGGGGTCAACTAGCAACATCTATTCATAATAAATTAGCGTTATAGCGTAATAAAAAGCGTCATAATTAGTTGCTGTATTTCTAGACGTGTTATCGAAATTACTCCTTTTTTTTTTGAATAATTGATGGTATCATTTACGCTATCATGGATAAAAAATCCAAAAAAAACCCAATTCGCTTTCAAGAAACTCTCTTTTTTGTCGAGCCCGCGTGTCAGTTGCGCGCCCTGAAGCAGAAAATACAAAGCTTAGACAATCGCTGAAGCTGACGAATTTGTTGCTCAGTGTTTCACTACCCTCCGTGGAAATTCAGTAACGCGTTCAATACTACAGTTGTGGTAGACACAAGATGCTCAGGAATAATTAAAGTCAATCCTTTGCATACGATCTTTTGAATGTAACTCCACTATATAAATAATTAGTTTTTCTTGATTCCAATCGTCACTCGCACATTTAACGGATGTCCAGAATGACACAAAAAAGACCCTAATTTAAAACCACAGACCTCAAGAGCTATTTATTTATAGAAATATTACATTCTATTATATAATCGATCTCCTATATTGCACGGTATCGAAATGAAGCTCTTAGCTAGTTGCACCAAAGGTGCCAAGGAAATGCGGTGATGATGCCGCGTGACGGTCCATCACTCCCTAAACTTTTTAGATTTCACGCAGTCCTACAAGATCTCCCTAACCAGATCCTTGGAATAGCAATGACCGATCTGGACGATTTAGGACCGATCTGGAAGGTGTACAGCTTGGTTTCTATTGGTATTGGAATAACGAGTTAAATCATCTTAGACTGCTTTTCGAGAGGATATATCATATAGCAACTTTTTCGCACACCAAAGCAAACTTCACTGATGAGGCTTGTGTTTATCTGAACATCTATTCGTATATTTAGGATGGAAATTAAGTTATAAAATTTTGTTGAGTTATATAGAAGTTATATAGAATTGACTGTCGATACAGAATAATTTGGTCTTCCTCCGCGATAAATGCACAGCAAACTGGCTCCGCACCAATATCAGTACCTGAACATGATTCACATGGAGTACGATCCTTGCAACCATCTATTGACTCAATAGAGTCAATAATATATATATATATATATATATATATAATCGAATATATATAAAGCACTAGGTATTTTGATACCCTTAGTGCTAAGTACTTTAGGAGAACGTGACACTTTAAGGTAACTAGCCTTCTGAATGTTGCACAAAGGTCTGTCGCTTTCAACGGTATGTCTGATCACTGTTTCAATAGCTGAGGTAGTTTACTCCGATGATGCAGTGGTACAAATGATTTTTTTATAGCTTTGTTGATCGACTGCAGAATTCTGAAGACATGTCAACGTCTCTAAAGGTTAGTAGCGGTGTCTGTATAAAAATCTTCATGACCGTTTGTGACTTTGAGTCCAGATATTATTCTAGACTATGTTTCAGCAGAAAGGGAACTTTTTTTTTTTTTTTTTTTTTTATAAAAATGGTAAACTTGGGTCGCTTTAAAATTCAATTCTATGTTTGATACTCCTTTGAAAAGCATCCGTAAACCTCATTGTGGACCCATTAAAACCCGATTGTGGATGCACCCCTCCATTTCCATACTTAAGCTTTGTACATTTCGTATGTCTTTCATTGTGTTTCAATAGTGCTTGTCAATGCTACATATTGGCGCCTGTCTGGCAGTGCAGCTGCGTAATTATTTTATCTTAGTTTGAATAGCTGCAACTCTGCTGGTTCAATGGTTAGCGGTAGGTTCATAACGAGCCGTTCCGTTATTTATTTAAATTACCTGGAACGCTTCGAGCATCTTCCAGTTTACTCCCATTAAAAATCTTCCCAACATCTGTTTTTACAAGATATTTGCAATTACGACATTTTTGTGGAGTGATTGAAAATTGGTTCATTCACACTGATTTTGAGGTATGTCTTGAAGTCTGATATTTTTTGTGAAGCCTTTCTACCTCCTCCATACTCGTTGTAGCTCCCCCCCCCCCCCACACACACAAGTAACAGGGATGTTTCAAACCATATTTACGTTCTTGCTCTTTTCCTGTGATCATTCAGAAGCATGGCGGTATGTTTCGAATCCGAGCCTTGGATACATTTCGTTTCGTACTGGGAGCCAGTCGTCTGATGGAATGGAAATATTTGGGTAATTACATAGCGCTCAAAGTTTGTTTAAGTACTTAAATAGTAGCTCTTTGCTAAGTATCTTTGCTTTCTTTTTACTTATACTAACAGAGGGATACTAACAGACTTTATTACGGTCAATTTTCTTTCGACGCTAGGTTTAAATGGTTCTTTATGCGTTCTTCCAATGGGCTGTTTCGATGTACTGAATCGTCGGACGTGAAGATTAGTAGTTTCCATCAGTCTGTGTTGACAGGTTTTTGGGTGGGCGATCTTTACTGTCTTCGAATGGTGCTAGTATACGAAAATATTGGCTTCAGTGAATGCTGTCGATAGAAGCAAACATACGCATTTTTTTTCCACGAATGCCAGTATCTTGAAACTGTACCCCACATTGTTCTGGTTGTCCTGTTGTAAGTGTTAGCGATGTGAGGTACTTAAATCTATCCCAATGACCGGAAATCCTCAAAAAAACAAGGATAAAACAATTGTCGATCATTGGTAAAGCTGTCGTAAATAACAACTCAGTTTTGAAAAAGCTATCTTAGACATTCCTCCAATCTGCACATGTCGGGAGACAGTTGAGGGGTTCTGTTTAATTGTTGCAATCGGCGCAACAAGTTCTTAGCGGTCCATTGGTATTTCTCGAACCGGCAGGGTTCAAGTTAGACGAATTTAAATGAAAATATAGGAGGTGTATTGCTGTATTTACGGAGGAGTAAATAGATGCAACGACATCAAGCGGTACTGACACGAAAAACAGATTCAATATTCAATGTTAAGGCGAGAGAAGAGAGCTATATGGATAAACAATAGCCGAACGGGCTGATGTTGATAGTGTTTGTTGAACAAATATACATGAAGCTAATAAATCTCAAGTAACATACTTCACAGTCATCTTGCACGACAACAGTCACCTGCCTCATTGATATGAAGTGAATGGGAAGACTTCGACGGATGTTGGAAATAGTAATGGCCTTTTGAGCCAAGCAAGATGCGCCACACCGACCACTCGGAAAAGAAACAGCTTCTACAAGTATACGCGAAAAATATATCCTATATGAAAGTATGGAATATATAAAAATGGAACGTTCTGAACATGCTAAATGAATTGAGGAACAGTGACTCGAACCAATATATAGCCAAAAAAAACACTCGCGTGCTCTTCGTTGCCTAGCCCGCGCATATATCACATAGTGCAAAATACATTGGAAATCGGAAAATCTCAAATAGGAGGCAGAATGCAGGAAATATAATGGCTATAACTGTACTTGTTAAAATGGAATTATCTATTTTTGTGCTATCTGAATTTCATATTACAACGATGAAGTCTTGAACCACGAATCGATACAAAAAATGGCGCCGGACCCACAGACATGTTACAACGGAACTTACAACGAAAATGGTGCGACATAAACGCGAAGACCCTGCTTAGTTAGACTGGTATCAAATCGTTCTCACGCCCGAACGTCACCTTTACCAGTAACTATTTATATATAGCTGTTATTCTCTCTTATGTATATATATATATATATATTCTTATGTAGCTTGTTTCGCGCACTTCAGCATCAGGCGCGCTTGTCAACCGACAAAACGGAATGGCGATTTTGGGCTGCGACTATAGATCGACTGGGAGACGACAGCGGTGCTTCTAAATCATGATGAGATTTTTGCCATTAGGGTTTTTCCAACTTTTGTAACTGATGCAACATTTGTTAACTATTTTTTTTAATTTTATAGCACGACTTTAAAATTTATCTAACTGAATCGTGTTCCACAGGGCAGGTTACTTTTTATGGATTTCTTTAAATCAAATCCTCTAAGCCTTATAATATAGAAAATGCAATTTCAAGAACCTTGTGTTCCACCATAATCAGACAGCTATAGTTACAATGTACGAAGTGAGTTCATGGGTACCGCGTGGATAGATCTACCAGTTGTAATGTTCTTCTCGAGTATTTCGATAGGTACAAAACATGTAGGCCACCCTACAGAAGGGACAAATGTCGATTAATGCGGATGTCATAACTCACATACGCTAATCAAGTCTGTCATTATCTAGATCTAGCGAAAGGCTCGCTAAATTTTTTTTTTACTTTACAAACTAGCCATACGGTGCAATGCCGAAAGCATCAGCTGAATTATTGAAATACACTGAAATAATATATAGCTGAAATCCCTACACAAATTAATGCCTAAGGGAAATTTGTCAAAAGCTTAGATGTGTCTTCGATCCACAGCCTTTTGACTTTCAGTCAAAAGGACGTGTGAAATGTTCTTCGTTTTATTGATATTTGCGCATCCGTGTTGGCGGAATCAAACCATCGACGTGCAGGACCTAACGAAGGTCACGCACAACTGGGTCACCGCCGCCGCCGCCGCAATGTTTAAGGAGTTAAAACTGATAATTCCCGGCTCTGATGATTCTTCAGATTCAAATCTACTTTGGTCAAAAAAATTTCCAAAAAAACGCATGGGGCACCAATAGACGGCTTTGGTCTACGTAGTACGCGTAGAAGTCATTCGAAAACCTGCGGGTGAGGCATATAGGTGTAAAGGAAAGCGTCTAGTAGTGACATCAAAGTATAGGTTACGAAAATATAGCAGATACTGGATACAGAACCTACACGGGTGAGGCAGACACCATTAACAGCTGGCCTGAGGAAACTTGAAAACGTTCCCAACGAGGATCCCAAGTTCTATACGTTCTCATTAAGTCAAATGTCGATCGATGCGAATGCGAATCCGTCGTACATTTCTCTATACGATTTTGTGAACTCGTACGTTGGAGTTCATTACGGCGACGAAGGGCGGACGAACGATTGCGACTTTCAAGATAGTGTAGATACCCTTACCCAGCAATAAGGGTCAGCTTTCGTGTTAAGACCCAGAAATAGAGGTCAGCTTTCGTATTCAGAACGTAACAACATTGGCGTAAGATTGTCCCTAATTGCATGCCGACCGCCACAAACTGTACCATTCTCCGATGTACTCGTCCACTGGAATCGAGCGTGAGCGTATTGGGAATTCGATATCGCCCATCTATCGTACATCTCAATAGCCCCGCCTCAATCAGCAATTGTTCAGTAAGGAAAAGCGAATAACGTTAATATAACTTAGCAAAACATGATAAATCAGGTATTTATATCAGTGGGAAGTTTAATTAAACTTATTCATTCGTAGAATATATTCGTGACGAGCCTCTTTGATATGAAAACGCCTTTGTGACAAGTTTCAAGATACGGTTCGTGCCTATATAGCACCTGTTCCATTATTGTTTTCTGCTGAAATAGTCGATAGGTCGAATGATGAAAATTGAAAATCGAGGTAACACTCCCAAGTGGGTTGTACTGCCGACTTGCATAGGGACTAGCACGCGCTTGATAAATGTTGATCGGGTAGAAACCCGCAGTAGCAGTCATCTACACAGTTAACGGAAAACTTCTCTGAGAGGGTGGCAGCAAATGCTCGGGTAAACCCTGCGGCAAGTCGTATCCATCGAGTTTGACCTGAATCAGATGCATTGCTAGGGCAAACTCTTCTAGGTCGAGCATGCCGTCCTTGTTAACATCGGCAAGTTTCCAGATCTTTCCAAGAACGGAATTTGGCAGCATTGACTTCATCATCTCCTGTAACAATCGGATGAAAACAGTATGATATACGACATGATAGATATTGCTTACCTTCACACAAGCGATATTGGTACACAGTACAATTTTAGAACGGTACATGAGCGAATTCGTCCAAGAATCATATATAGATTTGCTTTAGAGATAGAGATCTGAGATTTATTTTACTTCTACTTACAATTCTAAAGTCTAAACATTATTAATAATAAAATAGGTACGCGACGCATGCGAGACGTATACGCTGCTCCTTGAAAAGGACTGACTATCGCTTAAAGCCCTAATTTTTCTATTTTCAATATTCAGCAAAGACAAACCTACGACATTAGTTCTGTGTAAGTAAACTGGGTTAACGTCAGAATAACGTTTCATCGTTCCATTACTAATCGTTGTTAGGTGGTCCTATAGTTCGTCTATACGGACTCAGGCTTTTTTTTTTGCTTGTGTCATTGTAAATATAAATACTAGTGAGATCACCGGTTGATAGCTCTGATATGTACGTTTTACGGCGAATCGAAGAATCATCATGCTAGGTGCATACTAAAATCAGCGACTAAAAAGCATGTTTTTTTAATTAATTTTTCCATGATTGTAGCATCTAATGATTGCTTATTGTATATTGGATTCGAGCCAATTTGCCTGAAATATTAAGCAAGTTAGGGGGGGGGGGGGGGGGGGTCACATATATATGATGTATATGGACATTTGTAACCGACGAAATAAAATCACAGATTAGGTGGCCTAGAGATAATTTTTTAGTCCAGAAATAGTCCTGGCAGCTTACTGTTTTTGCAGAAGCGCCGCTGATTTTTCCGTCAACAGGATCGAGATTTTCAAAGATAGAAGCGTACTTCGAGAGGTCTTTTCCCACTACCCACGAAGTCTGAAGGGAGCCGTAGTCAGCTCCTTCGCCACGTCCGTAGCCGAAGATCGATTTCTTTGATTCGAAGTGTCCACCTTCAACTAAACCGGCCTCCGCGGCCGCCGCCTGTTCCTACATAGAATGAAAACAAGCAATAGCAGTTAGAGAAAAAGATGCGTGCTTAACATGGTAGTTTTGTCTTCCGTGGTTGGTATGTTAGCCTTCATGTATTTTAATGCAACAACGAAGCATAACGATCAGCTCCCAAACCTCCCAAAAGTCCCAAAGTCCCGAAAAGAGACTGTGATCGAAAATAACATTAAGAAAATTAAGCAACATTATTCACTAGGTTCGAAAGCTCCTAACCAATCTGCCATTCCCTTCAAAGCAACTATCGGTAACAGCGGTGAATTAGGCTATCATAAAAAAATCGGGGAAAAAACTGGGAGCCCCGCTGATGATTTATCAACATTTGTTTTTTGTTTGTACGTAGTGTGTTGCTCACGATGTGAAAGACGCATGTTAAGCGTACACGGCTGCCAGGAGCTCAAGTATCACGTGTCTCGTACTTGACATAATAAGAGATTCTCAAACATTTAACATAATAAACATAGTAAAACAAACGTTTGCTTACTTGTGGTATCATTCCCATTAGCTTTGAAATTTCAGAACCTAATATTACGTCAACGTCATCAAGCAACTTCTTATTAAACGACTTGAATTTAGTAAAATCGAACGTGACAAGCTTCTCCTGCATCTCCCGCAAATCGGGAAGATCGCCGGGCGATATTTTCTGTTCCTGAAAACCGAAAGATACGAACATGAAGTAAATTTGAAATTGAAACAACAATTGGGGGTAAGCCTGTATTAAGCCAGCAAGTTTTGACAGGCTGATTGTCACCACCGAGACTCCTGGTTTCGACAGTTCTTGCATATATCATACAGCGAAGACGGAAAGGCCTTACGGCCTATCGACCGGGATCGAATTCTTCGTTGTTCGCTTGCTACCTTACCTTTTGAACCTGCATAAAAATTTGGTCTAAGTTCTTGATGAGCTCCTTCTTCTTTGACTCTTTACCGAAGAGTGGTTTGTTGAAGTCATTTCGTAGAGCTGTCACGATATGCGCATGGACCTGTTGCCACGTAGAAAAATGCAAAATAGCATTTAGATACACTTTTTTAAAAAAAAAACAGCTTCATCTGAATAACGATGAATTAAGCTTGGGTTATGCTTTAAGCAAAAATGATTGCTTGAGATCAGAACCTATGGCCAAAGCTCCACTAAAACTAAAGTTAGCCGAACCTCTGAAGTTGTTTGACCATTTGTCGGCAAGCTGCAGGTGATCAATCTCTATATACTGTGTTTAAACTGACCTTTGCAAGTCTGGCCCTCTTGATTAAATCATTCAACTTCCGGAGAGCAGCATTTCGAGGCAGGCTCTGAATGTCAGAGAAGAGGTCCTGTTCCTCTGCTTCGAACAGACGACGATTCGTGTCATACCTGCATTATTCATATATAGAAGCATAAATCGAATACCGTTGATTTACAATTCCCTTAAACGAACCATATGATGGACCTGATGCGGTGAATTGGTTCATTAAACAAAATAGGGACAAAATCAATTCTACGGTTACCTGAGCGGTTGATCCCAGAAACTTCCGATGTATACTCGAGCCACTTCGGGAGTACCCAGCACTTTTCCGAGAGACCACATGAGTGCGCCATACACCTGACCACAAAAGATGTAATTACTATATTTGCTATGCTTTTTAAGCTTATATGATAGGAGAAATGATTATCGGGGGTATGCAGACAGCCCGCAAACACGTTACTAGCCTTTCCGCTATCAGACTGTATACAATATTAGAATAGAAAATGAATGAACGTACCCGCATTAATTGCTGATGGTTCACCATATCAGCCTTGTTGAGCACAATTCGAATCTTGTCATCGTGACCTCTCAACGCTTCAATTGACCTAAGTGAAACAAATCGTCTTCTTTTGATAAGTCGTTCTCACCCTGATGTCTTTTGAATGGCACGATAAATTCACACAAATATATCGCCTAATTTCGGATCGACAAAGAAATCCAAGTGTTGCTCACAATCATTTTATAATAACGCTGACGTCTAGCTCGAACTTCGTGTGACGGAACTTCTATCTATAATTTCCTGATATTGAAACGTCAATCGTACCGGCGAAACTCATCGGAGATGTCGAGTTTGTGCGCATCAAAGAGCAAAATTATCCTATCCACGCGTTCGGCAAACCACTCAAGAACGGCAGCGAACTCGTAGCCACGATCCGTTCGCTGCTTTTCACCCGAGAGAATACCTAATCACACGATAAGACGACAAAAAAAAGATTTTCTATTTCCAGATATATCGCAGGTGATATCGCTAACGACTCAAGATAGATGATAACTAAGACTATCATCGATTTAAAATAATACCGTCCAACGAGCCGTCGATCCCATCAAATATTTACCTATATGCCTTAACATGTACGAAGGAAAGGTCTCGCCATTGGTGTGCGCTTTGGCAAAACAGGTTTTGAAAGCGGTAAAAAGGGTTAATTAGGTATTCCGTCAGACAGCTAGCTCGGTTTCAAGCCTAGACCACAACGTCAGCCCCAAAAATCTTAAGCTAAACAATAAAAAGAGCTGTCCATTACGTAACAACAGAAGGCCAACGATAAGTTTCGTTGGAAATCTGTGAGAACATTTGTCTAAATAACGAACCCGGTGTGTCAATGATGCTAATTGACTGCAGGACAGGCGACGGTACTAGGGAGCATTGTAACTTATTGAGGAATGCCCCGCCGAATTTCGAAAGCGGCTTGAACTGGCGCTGATGATCTACGACAAGTGCAGGTCCTGGGATGACACCCTCTTGTTCGCCATACATGACCGCGATAAACCGATCTGTTGTTGGTTCCGGCCCAATTCGGATGCCCGGAAATTCGCGCTCCAGCAAGTACCTAAGCGGAGAAGCCCACAGCGGTTTAACGTACTTATTCGTGACGTTGTATTTACGATATTCTGTACCCTTGCCTATTTGCTAAGTTAAATTGATAGTTCGAAAACGCTCTAATTCTTGGTGAGAATTGACTCGGTTCACAGATAGCGCTCGCCATATTCCGTCACTAACTCACCCAAGACATAGCATTTTCGGTGATATGTTTCAGGTAAAGTGTTTATTGGACACGGCCAATTCTAGCAGGCAGCCTGATGTGACAAATGTAGGGGTACGTTGAAGGACAGAAACGCGGACAAACGATTTGCTACGATTTCACGCAGTCAACCCAATTCATTGACAATATGGCGTGGCGGAAATAACAACAACCAAAGACACTTCCTCGAATATCTAATGAGGGAATTAGAAAGGTACAGTTCCGAAACACTCTATAGCACTGATTGGATACACACTTTTAAGTTGAAAACGTGAAAAATTTAATTTTGCATTCCATCTTGGACTTGGTCCATTGAGTAACAAGGTACCTTATAAAAGTAGTTTTGCCAGTCGAATACTGTCCTACAAGCAACACCATTGGCTTGGCCTCGAAGTCTGCATCGGTGAGTTTCGGCGAGTGGAAGTCGTTAAAGCTGTAGTAGTCCTCTAGAGGGAGAATTTTGTCCTTATAGATGTTTTTTAGTCCTGAAACGGTATTTGATGAAAAAAAAAAACTGTTTTCCGCTACCTCATTTGACGTAATGCGTATATATATATATATATATATATATATAGGCTTCTTGCTAAGCGTCATAGAGTTTTTCATCGTTCCTAGTCGATGAAAAATGAACTTACCATCGACAACGGAAGATAGGCTTTCGACATTGTTCCGTCGAGACTCGTCTTGTTTGAGCCACGAAAACATTGTGACGGTTGCTACCGCTGCGGACTAAAGTTTCGCTTGAATCGCTTAGAGCACCGGATCTCACCAGGTATACGTAACAGTTCGACGCGCAGCTTTTCTAATAGATGAATGGGTAATTTGTGCGCCACGTTAGCCCAACGATCGACTAATCGTTTTCGATCGCAGATTCTTCTAGATGAGCCAAACACTGCAAAACGGAGAAACACGTATTAAAGCACGTTTCTCAAAATAGTTCGATCTTTGGTCACAAACTGCTTCTGATCTCTGTACAAAATTGCCCTTGACACTAACACAGACCCACAATGTCAACCCAGCTCGCGTGGTGGGTAGCTTTTAAGGCAACTAACTACGTTTTTTCCACCTAAAAGTTCGCTTGTTAGCTAGGTGGGATTTTTATTTGAACTTTGCCCTATACATTGAATTTTACGCCATCATCGCGAGTAAATGGATTTTAAGTTTGCGACTTGTAGTCGTCTAGAAAAAGAACTTCCAAGAAGTCTGGCATGCATTGTTGATTATAGTCCATTTGTTCCATAGGGTGTTGGCATTTTTGCTTTTGTACAATACAGTTTCGTTTACAGTTCGTAGAACTAATATTTTCCAGATGATTCAAGCGTAGGTCAATGATAGGACTAGCAAAGGGTCCGATTGTGTTTCCATGCTATAATTTGAAATGATTTCCGGTCAATAGAAACCCGTCATTTGACGTATATTCATTCAACGTCATACGTACTGCTCCAATAACATGATGACTCGATTTTTTGTACTTCTGCTAGGGCTAGCCATGATAAACACGCTTCTGTTATTTGAGGATTGTTCTTCTTGCCTATTTCTATTGCTTCTACGATTTGAACGTGTTTAGCGATTAAACAAACGATCTAGTAAATGCAAGCTAGCGAGAAAAGCGGTTGTCAATTATAGTTGCCAACCATATGCATGTCGGCACCCGTACCAAAGAAACGGGAAACGATCTATGACACAGATTCAAGCAGGGAGGTCTGATGACTTACGTAGTATTATTTAGAATTTCAAATTGGTCAGCTGGTACTACGATGAAGCACTGCTTCAGACAAATGTCATCTGCCAGTGCGAAACGAACTGTGCCTCCGCCCGGTTTCAAACCTAGGCCATTTCACTAGGTATTTATTTTTTCTTTACTAGACAAACACACTGATACGCCACCGTCACGGAGCCACTATCGACGTTACAAAAGCTAGTACACATTACACAGATGATTGAGCGGTTATTCTGTTTGCCGGGATGTGTGTTCCGGAAGGTCTCCAGTAGTGGTGATCACAATGATCTATAGTGAGCATATCTGAGGATCCGCTAAAAATATTTATCCTACCGCTATAAAATGTGTTATGATAAAATGTACCACTGATAACTAAGCTGTTGTTCTTCCCCCTAATGTCAGGGTATTAATAAGAAAAACAAGTTGAGGGATAATAATCCACCGTATTTCAATTCTGTACGATATGATAGAATGTCTACGTAATGGAGTCAAAAGCGCTTCTGTGGATCAACTTAGTCGAGCATTACCTGCCCGGTGCTGTCACTTAAATTATATCGCTTAGCTTGTATAGACATGTTTTCACACTGTTTGTCTATCGCCAAAAGGAAAAAACCAAAGTGATACGCCTAATTGATTTCGTTCGTTGATTATTTGCAGAATCTCTACCGTATTGCTCTATCTCTAGTGTTCGTACCTACTCACGTAGGTCAGACGTCGCCTCTGAAATCGATGTTGGACGCAGACGTTTCTTGTGTCTGATTAACTTTAGCCGTTGCCCAAGTCTTATGGGATGCTGATGAGGCTTGGATACTGTCATATCATTGCCTATCAGTACGGCAGCTCATTTTCAAATCTGCATGTAAACTAAGACCTTTGAGACTCGTTCATCCCTAGGCCATCTAACTAAATAGTGTTAGAGATGTAAAGGTGACCTTTTGTGTGGGCAAGGAAAACGGCTACGAAAAATGTTTAATCATATAGCCATCTGTCTCCACACTATCCCCGCACTTATTTCTGCGTTCATTTACCACATTCGTATAATAATGCAATCATCCTTTAATATTTTAAAGTGTATGACGGTTCACTACCTTTGGCAAAGACACACTGTGTATTTGATTTTTGTATGGATAGCTTATTGCCCAGTGGTATGAAAACGATACGCTTAATCATTGCTCGGGTTGTATGGCCTTCCTATACTAATTTAGCATTTAGAACAGATAATGTCGAAGAAAAGAGGGATCAAAGGAATGCTTCGTATATATTCGACTAAGTCCAAGGAGTGATGCCGGCGTTTGCCTCAGATAATTAGGTAGAATTTTTTTTCATTTGGTTCTCGTATTAGTTAAGCGGGTCAAATAGTGGGCTTTATAAGGACAGCAAATATCGCAAGCAGAAAACACCCTGACGAAACAGCAATACCACGTGTTACTTTGAGGCCCGGCTAGCAAGCCAGTCTCAGAATTTACAGTAGCATTTGGGCATTATTCTAAGAATATGAGGAAGAAACATGTTCCGCAGCTGGCCTAGGTCAATAGCTAGTAGGTGTCAACAGTAACAAGCGGCGAGACAGCCTTCAACCGAAACGGCCGCTACACAATTTTAACACGGCCCATACAACCGGGTTTGGCTGTGCTGAGATTCTCCCAGATGAGTCTGACGCCATATGAAATCATTAGTGCGGGCACGAATCAGTTGCCGTATTCAGCGAGAGGAGCGACCGTTTTTCAATGGCAACGCTCTGTATTGATACTTTTTTTGACACTTTCTGTTACATGCTAGATGTAGCTAATTTCCGAGGAGAATAAAACTAGTTCCAGATAGCAAGAATATATTATCTATTCCGGAAGCGAAGGACGAGTGCAATCGCAACGTCATTTATACTGCTAGTGGCTGTGCTGTTTAATACTTCATGTCCCTTGTCTAAGTCGGTTTCTAGGCCGGCATCTGTCAAGTACTGTCGAAAGCTATCCAACCACATCTGCTGAAACTCAAAACAATTCGTTCTGTAAATAGGGAGATCGTAAATCTACTGCTGTCACAAACTTGCGCTTTCCGATTATGCGACTTGAAAGATTGCTCAGGAAAACTAAGAAAAGTAGGGGAGTGAAGTTCCAGTCCTATGCCAGACCTATTAGCCGTTTAAAGGGGTCTAGGTGCGTTATGCTGTGTTGTATCGTGGTGGGACTCTCTTGCAGAATCGAAGCAATGAGCTGACTTAAGCTTATACGAAAATTTCCACAAATTGCGCTTGCTTGGTGTTTTGACCAACGCCCTTATGAAATCGACGAATACAGCACAAACGTGTGGTGTAGAATTGTTTATGTTGAAATTTTATGTTGACAAGCAGCATCTAGCGAGTAACCGCTGTTAATTTTTCCATCCAGAAGCAGTATTATTCATTTGAGATCATGCCTCGAACCGTAAACTGATACACAAGGTTCTACCTCAGAGTATATTGTTATAGCTTCCAATCATAGGTTTGTTCGAGCCGTTCTTCAGACAGGCGTTAACGCTCCTATGACGTTTCGTATGATTTTCCATTGCTCTCACTGTTCTACAGTGCCAGTCTATACTATAATCGATCCACGTCCAGTTGCCTACACAGTGACTATATTGAGTAACAAGCGTATATTTCATCTACGACCACTCTGATGACGATTCGTTATAGATATAAGTTATCCAACTTATATCCACCATCGGCTATATCAATTAGGCGGGTAGTCACACATAAAGCGACCATCTACTTGCTATGGGCACGTATACACATTAGAACCTGTGACGATCTTATGTGGTCGAAGGGACACGGTCCTAAGTAGCGTTGCCTACCCTGAGTCTCTGCTGCTTCTAATTGCACCGATAGATGTTCAGTTCGACCTGCGAGAATCACTTGTAAATCTCGCGAATTTGTGTATACGGTTAGTGCACGAAAATGGTATGCATAGGTATGCGTAGCATGCAACAGATGTCCTATTATACGGGAAACAAGGACTGATGAAATGTTTCTTATCAAAGTTCGTAAGCGTAAGTTCGATATACAAATTATTAGGTTCGTGATTGTCAATACGTGTACGTAATTTCTCAAGGGAGCATACATGATAAGCAACGGTAAGTTCCACCATGAAAATATGGTAACGCGTTTCTGAAGAATTATATTAGGTTCTTCCTTTAAACAGAGTATCAGTTGTATTAATCAGAAGCTGAAAATCACTATGAAGACGGATTGTGTAGCTCATTGATAATTATTCGGTGTTTTCACCGCCAGGTTCAGCACGGGTTGTAAATCCTTTGGTTCTCAAACTCGATAACACGTGACGCTATCAAAGCTATATATAATAGAGATCGAACTATACTACGACCATATCGATCCAATGGTCTAATTCAAGCAGTATGTGCTTACCTTATTAATGAAAGAAAATAACTTGAATGTTTCTTGTTCTGTACATCCGGTCTTGATCTTGATTAGTTTAAACATCATTGGGAATGTACATACTCAGCTTAAGTAGATGCACACTTGGATTCGTGACGGATTCACATCGGTGTCGCCCACACATCTACAGCGACGTCTATCTACCTAGTCTTGATACGGAGTACTCTACACCCACTGCAAATATGTATTGACCTATATATAATGCAAAGCGATACAACGTTTTAGCACTGTTCGTTATCGTTCGACACCTGTAATTGTATCATTGCTCCGTAACTCTCGCCGAATAGGCACTAAATAGACAGGCAACATTAGGGTAACCCGAGCGTATAGCCGAGGTAGGTGTGCTGTTTACTGACCGATGTTTCCGGGGAGGCAGGGAACAATGCACTAGTAAACCCTGCTGAGACATAAATACCTGAAACAGTCGCAGTTCGGTTCTACCTCAGGTATCTCTTCTCAGGTTGTAGCTCGCTTCGGGGCCGATAGAGAAAGGGTGCTTTTACGCGGCAGAGACAGCTAGCTGCCCGGCAAACCTAGGCAAATTAGGCGTTGATGGTCAACGTTGATTGCTGGTATAGCCGCACACATAGTCATATATTGAATATTGACAATGGCAAACAAAGACATAGCTCTTTGCAGAGTATTCGACTGCACACTATTCGGTTCTATAGGGTTGAAGGGCACACTATAGGGTTGAAGTTCACAACTCGATTAAGCATATGTGCTTGTGTGCAGGTAGTTATTG